GCAAAGCTCGCTCCTCTTAGTTTAAGGTTTAGGGTTCAGGGTTTAGGGTTTAAGGGCTCCGTGGACGAAGTAGAGGGTTTTGGGGTTCATAGTGAAATTCAAAGCCCAAAGCCTAGAACAGGAAAGCTCAAAGTAGAAAGAAAGTCTTCAAGTCCCTGACCCGCACCGGGTTGCTGTTAACGACCTTCAATTAAGCTAAAACAGTAATTAATAAAGTGACCCTACTATTCATCTACCACACTCCCATTGTATGGTAACTTACACCTTAAACCTCCGAACTACCCATATTATGGTAACTACAGTAATAATGAAACCCTATGATCTACCCTATTCCCACAACAACCCAAAACTACGAACTGCCCATATTATGGTAACTTACATTAAGCTCCTTAACAGCCACCCCCCTAAACCCTAAACCCTAAACCCTAAACCCTAGCCCAGGTGTCCGTGCCTGGTCTTCTCCACCACTCTGCTGGCAGTCTTTGCCCTGATAGGTATCGGGGCCACCAGTGCCCCTATCAGCCTCAACACGAACTTCGCGCCTCACTGGCTAAGTTTCCTAGGGTTTAGGGTTTAGGGTTTAGGGATTAGGGTTTAGGGATTTAAGGGTTTTGGGTTTAGGGTTTTGGACATTAGGGGTACCTTTTTGGGCGTCCCTATAATAAGGACTATTGTATATTGGGGTCTATATTGGGGTACCCAAATTTTGGGAACCTACCATATGTGCCATCGTCTAAACTCCTATACCTATTGGTGGTCAGCCAGACAAGAGGATGAAAAGTGATACTTAAGGGTTTAGGGGTTCATAAGGAATACTGGAGGGGATCCCTATGGTAGTCCCACACAATCCCCCGATGCCGGTCTTCCATGCCTGCATTTCCTGGCCACCACTGAGAGTTTAGCATGGGGATGATGAGGTTCATGGTGTTGGGCAACGAGTTATTGTGGTGATCTTGGGAGGGACACTGACCGCGAATTTGGTTGTGGCGATGTCATGGCTTGTACTCTGCAGTCAATGCGCGCGAGCGGTTTGTGTAGGACTTCAGAGAAGTTTCAGTTGTTTTTTGTGGTTTGTGGAGCTGCTCATTCAGATCCTACAAGGAGATTCGACTCTAGCCCATATGAGCTATAATCTTCACTCCTTTGAGGGGATTAGATAGACGACTATAGGGGTTATTCAGGGGGATACTACACTCCCCCAAACTAACATGGAAACCCATATAGCCCCCCTTTAAAAGGACTGTAGTCTTTATAGGGCTCCTCTTGGGTTTCCATGTTAGTTTCCGGGAGGCTCGACTCCGAGCAGCACTTAGGACTCGCTGATGGAGTCAGACAGCGCAGCCTCCCTGAACTACGACGCCATCCTCCAGGCGAACTCCTTAAAGAGGGAGGGGGGGGGGTTTAGGGTTGAGGGTTTAGGGTTTAGGGTTAGTTATATAGGGTAGTGGAAGGAGAGGGGGCCGTGTTTTTTCTGCCTGGGCTTTGTCCTGGATATGCGTGGTGCATGGAAACAATTTCTGGTGATGCAGCGAAACTCTACACCCTAAAACCCTAAAACCCCAAACCCTAAACACTAAATAGGGTCCGTATACTCATACCCTGTGATTCTTCTGGGTTGCTGTTTCTCCCTAAAGTGGAGAATCAAATGGACAAGAAAATGGATATAAAATGAAAACCCTTGGAATATCGGGATTTAATGGATTCAATTTAAGCTACTATATTGGGGAAACCCTATCATTTACTATACATACCCATTATGGTAACTTAATTTAAGCTCCTCAACAGCAACCCAGTCTTGGGTGGCGTCCTTTTTGCTGGGCTCATATCCTAGGAACCCTGCTGCTGTTGTGGGTACGTGACTAAGTCTTCTGTGACGGTCCTTTCTGGGGGTTTCCCAAAATTAGGGGTACCTGTCTGGGGGTACCGATAATTAGGATTGTAGTAGTTGGGGCGTCTAGATTGGGGTCCCCCAGTTCAGGGAAACAACCATTGTATAAGAGCGTCCTACTATGCCTCTCGGTCTTATGAAAATTCTGGTCTGGCGTCTCCGCTAACCCTAAACCCTAAACCC